AGAAGGAAGCTTAATGTTTTAAAAGGATGTATGCAGTTTGCTACGTTCTTAATTTGACACAATTGTATAACACTAGGAAGAGTTATACAGCCAGTAATAGGAAATATGAATGCAGAATTCAGAAGGGAAGTAGGCCTGAAACTATAATTTCCATATCTGAGGTTTCCTTGAGAATAGAGCTTTCATACATCTATGTCTCCTCAACACCAAGCAAAATGTCAGGCACCTAATAAGCAATCAGAAAGGATTTGGCAAACTGAAACTAGCAAATGCCAAATGCCTTAAAATTGTTTCCACTGTGTCCTTGTGAGGTAAAGTATAATTGAGATCATTATTCAAATGGAAGCTAAATGCTTTCTAGTGGCACCAGAGATTCACGTATGTGGTCAGGGGTTGCAGTAGCTGTTCTCTTAGGCCTCAATCATTCTCAGATGCTGCAGTCCTTTGACTCCCAAATTACTAAAGCAAAGTAACATGCAGAAAAACCTGCACGTCACCACTAATATATAAGCTCACCAGTTTCAGTTCTGTGGCTCAGTTTCAATTGTGTGTCAAAAATATATCTTTTTTTTAGAAGAAAGGATATTGTATTAACATACACTCATACATAGCTTTAAACTGTGCTTTGATAAAGGTTCACTTTTTCCTCAGATTGAATTATTTGTGAAGTTCAATGCATATTTATTGGGAATAGAGACACAGATGAAATTGTATCAAATACATATACTTTCAAATGTATGTATTGAAATATAATGTAGTTGCAGGTACCCGATTCCAGCAGCTTTAAGAGCTTTACTTACCATAGAGGAAACCATTACAACATATACTGTACATGCATAAAGGTAGGAGCTTGGGCCACAATGTGAAGAAAAATATTACAATCTTCCCTCTTATAAAAGTCAGACTAAAATAAACAGGCTACTTCAAGCTCAGAGCCACCATAGGGACATGCAGAATGCAAGGAGGGGCTTCCAACCAGGGGCCCTGCCTTCCTAGAAGTGTCGTCTCAGCATCTAAAGCTTCAATGAAGCGTCAGTGTGAATGAGACTGTTGATGAAGGAAGGGAGGACTGGTTCAGGAAGAGGGACAGCACCAGTAAATACGTGGAGCTTGGAAAGAGCATGGTGAGTTTAGGGCACTGCAAGTGGTCTCGTATGGCTGGAACAGCAAGTGGTAGCTTATGCTTAACATGCCCAAGATGTGGAAGGAAAAGAAGTTTAAGGTTAGCCTGATAGAGCAGGTCAATGAGTCAGAACATATAAATCAGAGAGACCATGATACAATGATGGTTGTGATATCATTGTGACCCTTACTGTTAGTTGTTTATCAGAGTGATGTAGATTAAAAACACAATTATGTTTGAGCAACTAAAAGGCAGTGAATTATTAATAATTTATCCATTTAATCTTTGTATTAGATGCCTAGAGTATTAACTAATCAATTTTTTTAAAGAAATGGTGCATTTATGATAATGGAGGTGAATTTTCTGGACTTCCTTATCAACACTTCATGCATGAACTAATTCATTAGAACTAGAATCTAAAATGGGATTTCATATTTCTGTATCATAGATGCTTTTTTTTAAGAACTATGATGATCACATAACATTTCATCCACACTGGGGCATTTTTGAGAGTGAAAGAGGTATTCTGAATAATTATACAAGAACAAAAGGAATAAATATGAATTGTACTGGGCAAACTAAATGTAAAATTCTTATTTAAAATATGTATTTAATTTAAAAGTATGATTAGGTGATTATTATTATTTAAAATTTGGAATAGATTTGATCTGGAACATTTTTTCCTCTTAACTGACATGTGTTAATCCTTTAATAATCTAAAGTTGGAGAACGACTCCATTTTGTCCTTTTAGTTTCACCTTTACACTTTATTTGTCAGAATACTGAATAAATCACTTGAAGAAAGAGATAAAATGAAGATGATAAATCTCTAATTCATGACATTCACCAGGGGTTAAATGAACATATAGCTTTTCAAAGAAGAATTATTCTTCAAAGTCCAGGAGAAGATATTTCATTTTACCTTAGCTTCCAATACAGAAATTGGGATCAAATCCAATAAAAACTTTGATGGCCAGTAAAAAAATGAAGCATTATGAAAATAAGGACAACAGAAGGAGGTGACAGCCTTGCTATGGAAGAGAACTCCCAGATTATAACAGGTCAGTGGACCTCTACACAAAGCCACAGTATTCAGCTATTATTCACACAGGTACCACACTGTGATTCTTACAGATTGATACCTTTGCTCATTATCCTCTTGACTGCACACAAAAAACAATAAATTTAACCTAATAATGTCTGGAAAAACTTCCACTACAAATATAAAGTATTATTTACAAAATAATAAAAAAACACCTGTATTTTATTCTAATTGGTTTTTGTTTCTAATAATTGATGGGTTTTACTGTAAACAACACACTAGGGCAACTGACTTTGAGAATAAAGAAAAATAATGGATTTCAGGCTTCAAATGTGGGATTTGGAAACAGTGCTTTGTCAAGTTTCTTAGTTCCCACAGAAAGCCGCACTGTAGGGCTGAGGGTAGATAGACAGTAGACAATGGATATCCATTTTTTAGTTTTCTACAGTCCTATGATTTTAAAAAATGTGGTCAATGCAAGAAGATGAACTATCTCATGCATGACCATTATACATAAGAGGTCAAAGGAGTCTTTCTTTGTTAAATGACTCCTAAACCTCTACTGAATTAAATCCAAGGAAATTGCAATGGCACATAAGGCCCTCCCTGTGGTCTGGCGCTATCCCTCATTTCCCTGTTAACTGCTTGTAGCCAGCTACATCATGCCTCCAAGCTTTTACTTCTGCTCTTCCTTATGTTCAAACATATTTCCTACCTTCTATTCATTGGCCAAACACTTGCGATACAGCAAAATTTAGCTTGGGGTAATTTCCAGAAAAATCTTCCCCAAGTCTGTCCTCAGATTCATTTAAATGTACCTATTCTCTGCTTCATCAGCCCTTAGGTGTCTTTCTGTTAGCAGTTGATATGTTTACTATATTTGATTTATTGACTTATATGACACTTCACTTTCTAGACTATAATTTTTTTAAGGACAAAGGACCACTAAGTAAACAAAAGATCTGGTATGTAAAAGATAATGAGGTCCTAACAAAACATGTTCAAATTAGATATAAAATTAAGTGTGTGTCTACGTATAATTGTTGTCGTTTCACTGACAGATAGTTAAGCCAGACAACCATTTCTTAGCAACTGCATCTTGATAAAGTAAAAAAAAAGTAGTGTTAGCTTAGATAAACCTAAATTTGAATCTCAATTCTGCTGCTTCTTAGTGATGTACTCTGAGCCAATCGCTTACTCTCTCTGATCTTTAGTTTTCACATTTGCACTGATTAGCATACTACTAAGGTTGTGACTACAATTCAATGAAAATTGTACATAAATGCTCAGTAAGCTTCCTTATAATACTTCCTTTTCCTTTACCAATTTTAAATTTTAAAAATTCCATAAGGCTTGCATATCTATCATGTTTTTTTAAATATATTTTATTGATTTTTTACAGAGAGGAAGGGAGAGGGATAGAGAGTTAGAAACATCGATGAGAGAGAAACATCGATCAGCTGACTCCTGCACACTCCCTACTGGGTATATGCCCACAACCAAGGTACATGCCCTTTGCCGGAATCGAACCTGGGACCCTTAAGACCGCAGGCTGACGCTCTATCCACTGAGGCAAACCGGTTAGGGCAGTCTATCATGTTTTTTTATGTATAGATAAGAAAAAGCTATATAACACACAGTAGACTTACTCTATTTCATTTCTTATGTCTGTTCTATTACTTAGAATGCCCTTCTCTCAGCCCATTTCTACTTGGTAAATATCTTCCTTCACTGACCCGCTCAAATGTTACATTCTAAACGAAGCCTATCAGAATTAATTGACAGATCATCTGCATGTTCACAGTACCTTCAAATGATTTTATCATGAAAAATGAAATGTTATTATGCCAAAATTATAATGCCAAATGGATTTCCCTCATTGAAATTTTTTTCAGTCTAGGATCATCTATCAAAATTTTAAATAGTGAGATATATTAAAAGAATTTCTAGACAACTGAGATTTTTTAAAAATATATTTTATTGATTTTGTACAGAGAGGAAGGGAGAGGAATAGTTAGAAACATCGATGAGTGAGAAACGTCGATTAGCTGCCTCCTGCACACCCTCTACTGGGGATGTGCCCACAACCAAGGTACATGCCCTTGACCAGAACTGAACCAGGGACCCTTAATCCGCAGGCCAACGTTCTACCCACTGAGCCAAACCGGTTAGGGCATGAGATCTTTTTTTTTTTTTAATGCTAGAAAAAATGTCATATAAAAATAATATTTTTGCCCAGCTGGTGTGGCTCAGTGGTTGAGCGTCGACCTATGAACCAGAAGGTCACAGTTCGATTCCTGGTCAGGGCACATGCCTGGATTATGGGCTCAATCCCCAGTGTGGAGTGTGAAGGAGACAGACAGTTAATGATGCTCTCTCATCATAGATGTTTCTATTTCTCTCTCCCTCTCCCTTCCTCTCTGAAATCAATAAAATATATATGTAAAATAATAATAATAATATTTTAATAAAATAAAATATAAATCCATGCACATTTAAAATATATTCATTGGTTAAGTTTCATGAATAAAAATTAACAGCTTTTAGTAAAAATAGTTAAAGATGTAATAAAGGGCAGCATGTAGAATTATATACATTTGACCAAAGCATTTATTACATATAAAAATATTCAGTATTTGAATCGCACTGTAATATAAAAAGTTAAAGAAAAGCAACAATGGATTAAAACTGCTGCACTTACTGTTTAAATAAAAAATTGGTTAACTGCTGTCCAAATTCATTTTAATTTTTATAACATTAAAGTGCCTGCAGTAGCCTCTACAGGTTTTTTTTATTAGCAATTTATAAACACAAGGAAATAAGAAATTAATTTACCTTAATAACCAAATCAAATTTCTGGTAAAAGTCTCTGTTTACTGGCTCCAGGAGACTAAGTTCTGCAGTCCTGGGATGCATATGGAAAAATCGTGGGTAATCCTCAGGAGTCCCTGAAAGACATTGAGGTTTCAGCACATAATTGAGAACAATAAGTAATATGTTTATCTGCTATATCTATTTCCCTTCATTAACTGAGGAACAAAATCATAATTTCATTAGTAAATTAAGTTTCAAAATTATGCAGTCTAGGGAAAGCAGATGCAAATGTGGTATATAATTAATTAGTTTATGAGCAAGAGGATGAAAAATATGTTATGTTTGGATGATTTTCCAAATATCCTTTATTAAGAGGGCTCTTTAATTATTTGAAACTTCATCACATAAAAAGAGATATTAAGTGTATAGAGGGCAAATTTTGAATTCTAAAATTGTATTTTAATGGTGCATAAATCTTAATTATAGCTTGCATGGGTCTTTCAACATATATTGTAACAAACAATAACTGGTAATTTGTACCAAATATCAAGATGCTTGGAAATTAAAATCACCATATTCTGTTCCAGCTGGCCAAATTTTTTTAAAGATAAGAATCAAGCTAACTACATCAATTATATACAAAATATTTTAGCCCAGCCGGCATGGCTCAGTGATTAAGCATTGACCTATGAACCAGGAGGTCACAGATTCCAGGTCAGGGCACATGTCAGAGGGGGGGAGGGGTGGATCCCCAGTTGGGGAAGGCATGCAGGAGGCAGCCAATCAATGACTCTCTCTCATCATTGATGTTTCTATCTCTCTCTTCCTCTCCCTTCCTCTCTGAAATCAATAAAAATATATTTTAAAAATATTTTAAATACTACATAAAATATTTTCATGATACTTTTAATGTCTAGAGATGATATTTCTTCAATGTAGATATTTGAATGAGTTGAAATACATTTCTTCTTACAGAAATGTCCTTCAATTGTATTATCTACCTTTGTATACTGCAACATTATTATAATATTTTTCCCAACTTGAAGAAAAAGTAAACATTAAATCATATAACTGTAGAGTATATGAATTTGGCCAAACAATAATCATAAGAATAAAATAACATGGCTTCCAATTATTGAAGCCTACTCTGTGGTATATGCTTTATGTAAGTAATCACTAATAACTCTGTAAATCATTTTCATTTACAGTGGAGGACTAGGGAGCTTTCAGATATTAAATAACTTGTCCAAAGTCAAAGAGACAATGTAATATAGAACTTGCATCAATCCAGTTTGCCAGAATCCAAACATATGCAAAAATGAGTTAATTGCTACTAGTCCTTTGCTTCAACTCTGAGATAAGAAAAGAAATTCTCCTTTGCTTCAACTCTGAGATAAGAAAAGAAATTCTCCGTTGCTTCAACTATGAGATAAGAAAAGAAATTCTGAGACAAGCAAACAAAAATAGAAGAAAAAAATTATACCAGTAAAATAGACTTGAAAATTTAGAATAAGTCAAAATTGTGCATGAAAATTTAGCATGTGATAATAGAGTCACTTTAAAACGGTAGGAAAAATTTAATGAGAGCTTTCATCTAATAGGAGAGCCATACAGAAAATGACAAAAATCACATCCATTCTTCATACACAATACTGGAGTAAACTCTAGATGGAGAAACAATACAAGTGCTAGTAATAGATAAAAACATGAACTCTATTCTCAAATGAGAGTGGGCTTATTTTTTCTATGAATCAAAATAAAAAAGCAGTAAGTGAAAAGAGATAATTTTGATAACATTACCAAATTACATGGTAAGACAAAATAAACAAAGTAAAACCACAAGTGACAAAGTAGGGGAAATTATTGTAATTTACATCAGAGGCAAAAGGTTTATATCCCTAATGTATTAAGATTCACAAATTAGTAAAGAAAAATATCAATAATAAATTTAAAACAGGTTTCAGTACAATGAAGTAATTAGTTATGCAAATAATAATAATGATAAAACTATGAGAGTATTTGCTTAGGAAGTTTTCAATATTCAGTATTTTTGGAAGTGTCAATGAAGTACTGATGGGGTGGTCATAATAATCTGGCTGGTTTTAATAATCTGGCCACTCAGTGTAATTTTGTTACATCAACTGAAAAGAGTAGAGATTGAATTTAAAGGACCAAAGTTTGGGGTTTTTTTTTGTATTAAACTGGTATAAATTCAAGTTAGAGTGTTATAACTTTAGGATGTTATTGCAATCCCTATGGAAAAGACAAAGAAAATAGTTATAGGATATATGCAAAAGGAAATAAGAAATGAATTTAAACATTGCACTACAAAAAATCAACAAAACAGAAGTTACACAGGAAATGAAGGATGAAAAAGCTATAAGACATTAAAAACAAAGAGCAAAATGACAAAGGTCCCTTTTTTCAGTAACTATTTTAAATGTAAATGAATCAAACTCTATAATCAACACATAATTCATCTAAAATGTTGCTTCTTCCAGAACACCTCCAAAGCTTTGGGTTTTCTCCATCTAGTTCTCATCTTGATTTTAATTTTTGGGTTAAAAGTATTCTATTCTCCTGATAGTCAACTCCTTGGCTACCCCTTTCAATAACAAAAATTTTGTCAATAATTTTAATCATGGCTTCCTCTATGCTTTAAAAGCACATTTTTTGTATAATATTATTCCTATGATAGATATTACCTCTAACTTCTTGTTATTTTCTCCCATTAGTTTTAGGTTTATTGTTTATTCTTTAAGCTATTCAATTTTCTTTGTGCATTTTTGATAACTCTAATGGAAAACAATAAACTCCATTTCTCATAATTCCATGTTTTTCATATCACCTTAGGTAAAAGTCCATTCCCTTTGCAAACTTACTTTTAAGCTATTCTTGACAAATAAACTCCATTTTCTTATGCAAAATATTGCCAACAATTCTATAATCCCCTCTCAAAAAAAAATCTCAAATTCTCTTTTACTTGTCTCTTAAGAAAACTAAATTACTACATTAGTTGCCAATTCTCAACTTAGGTGAATTCTACAAAGATTTGCCTGGGTTGTTTTTCTCATGCATTTGTATGGCAGGACTTCAAAGAGTACTGCATGCATCAGAAAGACCAAGATCCTATCCCAGAATCTCTGAAAAGGAAGGTCAGGAATGTACACTTTGAATAACCTCAGGTGAATCTCATGGCCTCTAAAGTTTGAGAACCACCATGTTAGGGTAGATGAAATATTCACATCTGTGATTTACAGATAATAACAAATACAAAACCATGAACTGAATTTTTGCAAATCATACTATCATTTTGCTGACTAGATGGGTTCAAATCACCAAACCCCTCCCCTACATTTTTCCATATATCGTCCATGTGATTCTACCTTGCCTATGTCATTAGCTCCTTACTCAGTCTTGTCCTTTCATACTTGTACCACTATTATAACCTCCTAAATCTTCTAATATTCCATTCAGTTATCATCACTGAAATAAATGTCAAAAATCCAGTTTAATCTCACAATTATTAAGATAAAAGTTACTCATTGTTTACTGTGGTCATCCCCAAAGTGTAATTGAGTGTAATTAAAACAAAACATCAAATTACTATTTTTTTATTTAGTGATGCAATTTACATACAATAAAATGCACGTTAGCTTCAATGTTTTTGAGCAATTGTACGGACCCATGTAACTACCACCCTTATTAAAACTTTAATTTTATCTTATCCCAAAATACCACAAAATCAGCTTAAATAATTAATATGCAGACTGACTATTTGTGGTATGTTTGTAGGGACACAGGCAAGAAGTCTTGAGGGAGGTGAGGCGATTATACAGCGTGGAAGGGTTGACAGATGCTCTCTCCCATCTGTTTGCTTGCAGCACATTGCTGTGGGTTTGGGTTTACATTTGGCAAGTTTAAGTGATCTGTGTTTTGTAGTATTCATTTTCCACCAAGCTAATATTCACAAAATGAATAAGTTGTTGGGAAATTTCTTCAGTGAACCTGAGATTAAAGATAACACTAAAAGTAAACACCAAGAAAGTGGTGGGAGACTTACTTCCCATCTCCTAGTGTAAGGCCTTAATCATCAAGTTATTAAATCAAATCATAAAGATTCAAGCAGACCTGAAATAATGTTAGACTGACAATTTTTAACCAATTAATAGAATTATTGGAAATGTGGGTTTATATCTAATGTAATAAATAATAATCAGTGCTTTATGCAATTATTAGGCATTAAAATATTAACTAATGATAGCAATACATGTATACTTTTAAATATTAGAGGGCTTACTCAAACTTATTTTTAATGCTTGGGATGAAGGATCAAAACAAATTATTTAATAAAATAAACAAGAGGGTTCTTGTCTATGAAAAAACAACATACTCACAAAAAGAAATTACTTGAAACAGATCAGAAATGGCTGCGGTTTTTTTTTTTTTTTTGCTTCCCATCAAGGAGCCTATTATCCATCTCCTTGAATCTGAGATGACCTCACTTGCTTTGGGAACTAGATGGTAGTGGAAGTTATTCTGTTCCAGTTCCGGGACTAAGCTGGAACAGGCAGTTTTCACTTTTACTCTCTTAGAAGCCAACAACCAATGCTGCAAAGAAGACTACTGAATGAGGGAGGCCAAATGGAGAGAAGGGGCTAGTAACCACCTTGGATGTTCAGTTCCAGCTGAACGCAAACATTAGAGTAGCCTCAACTACACCATGTAAATAAAGCAGAACTACTCAGTTGATTCCAATCAACCTACAAGAACAGGAGAAATAATGAATCTTTGTCATTTCAGGTCACTAATCTTTAGAGTGCTTTATTGTACAGTAACAGATCACTAATACGCCACCCACTGTCTCTTCAGCTTCCCTTATATTTCTCCAACTTGCATTGTTTTCATATTTTGACAAATTTTGGTTCACTTCCAGTTACTTATCCCGGACTTACCATTTTTCCCATTGGCTGTCATATGTAAATGACTGGAATAACAAACCAAGTGAAGTATTGAGGAGGATAAATCTTTCCTATAAACCCTGCCCATAAACATCTGTGCCATTACATGAGAAAAAAATAGCTTCTTACTGTACATATTTAAGTCACTGAGTTTTGGAGGCTCTTTATAAAAGCATTCCAACTTTGTCCTTTACTAATATATGTCCTACCTATCTCATTACTGTCAATAATATGTTCATCTATGAATTCATTCTATTCTCTAATTTTTAGGGGAATCTATTTTTATGAGTTCCAGTTTTTGTGGCTTATTATTCTGTACTATGTGACCCTTCTGTGCAAAAGTACAAGAAGTTTAAAAAGTGTTCAGAAATTAATAGTTTTCTAAAAGAATTTTCAGAGTAAGCTATAAAAATATGACTGGAATTTATCTCAGTAAATATTATATATAGAGTTGAAGAAACATCTCCCAATAATGTGTGCCATAAAATCAAACTTTTTTCTCACTTAAAGGATAACAATAATAAAAATAATCCACAATACTCCATCTTATTTGCTAGTAATGAGTTCCTGGTAAAAGAGAAAAATAATCCAGAAATCCAAAAAGAAAAAGAAGAAAACAGTTGCTAATTTGGTGGAGTTTATTTAAAATTAGAGTAAAATTGTAGAGAATAGAAGGCATGAAGAAATGCACCACTAGGCTATATGCAAGGTTACTTAATGTTTAAAAGGCCAGAATGTGGAAAAGAATATTGATACAATCGTGTGTGTGTGTGTGTGTGTGTGTGTGTGTGTGTGCGCTGCTTCTCTTACCATTCTTGTATGACTTAGGAAACATGCTTTATTTTTTTCCTAATGGTAATAACAACATCAACTGACATTATTTGAGCACTAACTTTTTCCAAATACTAGCATATTTATATAATTAGATCAAATCCTCCAAACCTTTTTATAGAAAGATCAATTTTGATCAACCCTATTTTAAAGAGGAGCAATCTGAAGCAGAGTGGTTAGTAATTTACCTAATATTACATGTTGGAAAGCATTAAAGTCAGAATTTGAACATAGGCAGTAAAAATACAGAAGCTACATTCTCTACACCTATCATGCCTGCCTTCTAGAAATTTAAGTACTATGAAAGGATATCATTTTACTTAACATAGCTGTGAAAGCAAATTTACTGTTAGAGCAGTGGTTCTCAACCTTCTGGCCCTTTAAATACAGTTCCTCATGTTGTGACCCAACCATAAAATTATTTTCGTTGCTACTTCATAACTGTAATGTTGCTACTCTTATGAATCATAATGTAAATATCTGATATGCAGGATGGTCTTAGGTGACCCTGTGAAAGGGTCGTTCGACCGCCAAAGGGGTCGCGACCCACAGGTTGAGAACCGCTGTGTTAGAGGTTATGTTCATTCTTTAGGACTATCCACCATCCTACAATTAGAGATTGATGGAACTTATCAGTATGTCATTTTTATGCTCTGATTTCTACATTGGTTCCTCATTGCACTCAGAGCAAAATACAGAGATTATTAATATTCAAAACTCCATATTTTCTGGCCTCCTCGTATTGCTCACCCCCTCTTTATATTTATTCTTCACTCACTACTCTTCAGTGCTCCTGGCCTCCTTGATGTTTCTGAAACAAACCAGGCAAACTCCAGCTTTCATCTCTGCCTTCCCACATATCAACATCCCTAACTCCTTCAACTTCTATAAGACTGTGTTCAAATCTCACCTCTTTAATGAAGCATATCCTGATCATCTTATTTAATACTGCAATTTATTTTGCAACACCTCTTCTGTACTTCCAATCCTGTTCACCCAGCTCTTTTATTTTCCATAGCTCTGACCACCATATATCTTTTATAAATACATGTAATTTATTCATTTGTTTATTATATGAATTATTCATTGCCTGTCTCTGCTTCCAGAAAACCAACTTTACAACATAAGGAATGTGTCTTGCTCCATAGAGTAGTTGCTCTTTTATTTAAAGAAAGAATACATTAAATTTTATTTTTGTTAATCCTCACCTGAGGATATTTTTTCCATTTATTTTTAGAGAGAGTGTGAAAGGGAGGGGGAGAGACAGAGAGTTACACCAATGTGAGAGATATACATCGATTGGTTGCCTCCCGCACACTCCCTGACTGGGGCCAGGGATTTAGCTTGCAACTGAGGTACACACCCTTGACTGGAATCAAAATCGAGATCCTTCAGTCCACAGGTCAACATTCTAGCCACTGAGCCAAACTGGCTAGGGCAATATATGTAATTATTAAATGTGAAAAACCCTACAAATGTCAGTGGATACCAGCCCACTCTGAGTAACATGCCTCCCCAAGACTATCTTTAAATTTCATCCTTTGGACTTCACACATGCTGCATTATCTATCTATTTGTCTGCCATTTTCTGCCCAGAAATCCCAGTCTTTCTGCTGAAATAACTCATCCTGAGTAATTCTCTTAGAAAACCTTAGCACTCTTCTCCAATAAGCCCACAAGATATGTCTCATACTTTATTGATAATAGTGCTTAAAGCTATGCGCATTATTTTACCTTTTGACCTGTCTTCAGTCATATGCTCTATCTCACCTTAGCTTAGAACAGTTAACTCTCACAGTCCTATCTACGGCATCTAGTGCAGCGATTGACATACTCTGAAGCCTTCAGTTAATTACATGAAAAATGCCTGTTTCTGTTTATCTATGAGAAGAGTCCTATAGACTTAAAGGAGGCTCATGCTTATGCTCAAAAGAGCTTTTTAAAGATTTAATAGTCTAATCTCAGCCACTGGTGTATGATATATTCTAGAGACCAAAGGCTTGGGACAAAATTACTTGAGTTTTCTTTACCAATAGCATTTTTAAGTAGAATGTAGCATCATATTTTGAAATCTAAGGTCTGCAGGTTATTGTGTTCTTATGTATGTGTGCATACATGTAGCTGGGGCCTGGGAATAGAAAGAGGTTGAGGGTAATGTTGAATTCCATTGAATAGTTATTTTCAAGCATACTTCAAAAGCAACACTTCCTTTGTAAAGAGATGTATGGTCTGTCTCAGACACATCTGTCTATCCAGAGACTAAAAACCTTGCAAAGCAGCAGCATCCATATTTTAGCAAAAGCAGTTCATGTGGGGAAAAAAGCAATTTGGGTAACATAATCAAGTTCTCATCATTTTTTCTTTTGGTACAATTAGCAGTATCTGCACAAGGATGGATTAAGACAGCTTCTGTGAAATTTTTCAAGAAAAAATTAGCCAAGGGAATAATGTATTATGTACCCTTAGGCTAATTATGATCCTTCTCTTTCTCCCATATGGCTCCAAATGCCCTTATTTAATCAGCCATATATTTTCAGAATTATGTATCTGCACCCACCAATGATAAAATACTGGTAGAGCAAACAGTGTAAGTTTTTCATTTTTTTTTTCTCAGAGAATTCTTTAGGAGGTGATATTGAAGAAAACACCAATATGTAAATTAATCTTTTATTTTTTTAAGTTGTTTTACTGCTTCAGTAAAAGTTTTTCTCTTTGTTCTACACATTTTACTGAAACTAATTCTGAGAGAGAAAAAAATATCTGTACATTTATTTATACTTAATAATAACAATAATTTCCAAAAAGAAAATATTAATATTTGTTATTAAAGTTGTTTACTCTGATTTGAGACAAGTTTTTTTTCCTACATGATTCCAGAGTGATAACTGAAAGTATAAAATGTTAGCAGATACAAACCAACAAGGATGGAATAGAGGATGCCCGGCCTATCTGATGGCGGCTGAATATTCCGGTCCTGATCAATGGCTTGGATGGGTGGGGTAACGATGATGGGGTTCAGTTCTTCCTGAAAAAGATAAAGTCAGAGAGTTTAGTTCAGCTTCATTCCTAATACCTTATGAAAAATTGACATTCAGATATTAGAGTGTGGACAGCTAAATGACGACTGAGCCAGTAGTTTAACTCAGGTTTTAATATTGGTAATATAACACCTTAGGCTGGTTAATTTTGAATCTGAAGGAGCAAGGTGTCCTCCAAGTCGAAATAAAAAGACATAGTAATTACATGATAGAACTTTATACTAGGAATTCCTCCTAAAATGAAAGCAAGGGAGAGAGATATCAATAAATTTTGAATTTTCTCTAGATCTTATCAAAAGAAATATAAAACTACCAAGTATTGCTATTATCTTTTATTTAAGAGTGGCAAGCATTTTTCTATGAAGGACCAGATAATAATGATGTGTAGGCTTTGTCAGGCATACAGTCTCTGTTGCAGCTTCTCAACTTTGCCATTGTAAAAGAAGAGCAACAAGTGGACATGACTGTGTTGCAATAAAACTTTAATTATAAAAACAGTGGTGAATAGGACATAGGTTGTTAACACTGGTACTAGATTATAATGGGTATGCTGAAAACAAAAACAAATGTGCACTATGCAGAGATAAGCTTGGGAAATATTTTATAAAATATAATTTGAAAAAGTTAATCTACTACAGGTCTTTTCAGAGGCTTAAGTGTGTTAATTTGCATAATGATTACCTAAGTAGAAGGTATTATCAGCACATTTTCTAGAACCACACATTAGCATCTCTTTGAACTAATACCCTTAGGACACAGTTTGGGTTTAAGTCTTTGAAACCTTTAGTCCAAACATGTAAGTGGTAATTATAAGGGAAAATAAACTGCATCTCAATATCTGACAGTTTCACGTTCTAACGAATTAGTATACTGTTCTTTTCTATTAGTTCTTCTCAAGTAATAGACCTTGAAACATATGTGCTCTTATACAAAATCAGTAGTTTACAATCCTAGCAGAAACATACAATTCTGGTGTGCTAAGAAAGAGTAATGATATTAAACCATTATTTACAATATTAAATTTTATTAAGTTACATTATTATTGTTATACATATATGTTAAGTATAAGTATACAACTAAGTTATATTAAGTCAGCGGTTCTCAACCTGTGGGTCGCGACCCCTTTGGGGGTCGAACGACCCTTTCACAGGGGTCACCTAAGACCATCCTGCATACCAGATATTTACATTATGATTCATAACAGTAGCAAAATTACAGTTATGAAGTAGCAACGAAAATAATTTTATGGTTTGGTCACAACATGAGGAACTGTATTTAAAGGGCCAGAAGGTTGAGAACCACTGTATTAAGTTATTGAAGTTGGAATAATTAAAGATAATCATTGACCAATAATTTGGAGCTCTTATACATCTTAGTAGCTCTGTTGAGATCGTAATCGCTAATGGGCTCTCAGTGGTTTACACGCTATCAATATTTTACTAAAAATAAAGAGCTCTAGGTAGGGATAACTTACCAATGTTCCATTCACTTCCCTAACTGTGGATTTGGAACTATGAAATGCCAACCAATATCAAATTTACTCAATTAAATCCAGATGACTGCTGTTCTCACACAACACTCTTCCTAAACTCTTTCCCTCACTACCTGTTTCTGCGCCTCTTCCTCTCCATTTTACTTTCTCCCTATCCCTTCACCTCTCTACCTGCCTTTCCACCCCCCCACACATGTACCTTTCCAATTATCTGTTGACTTTCTTTATAGTACCTGTATTTCTCTATAAAATGAAAAAAAAATCCAATGCTGTTCAAAGTACATATGTTTGAATGTAGGAGTTACGGGTTGATCAGCTCTTCCTAGCCATTTCTCAAAGGAATCTGATGGTGTCAGCCAATGTCAGCTTATAGCTGAGCTACATTACTCCTGGTTCAACTAATTAACTCTGCAGTAACTTTTCCAAAAGTGTGAATCTTCTCAGATCTTGAGAGACATTACAAATCTCAGGAGTTTCTGAAATCCCATCTTATTTCCCATGGTCAGGGCACTATACCAAGGGTTCCTAATTAGACTCCAACTTTTTGAAATAACTTAATTACTTACCTATTTTTTTTTTAAATTGACTCTGAGCTGGTCTGTTAGAGCTAAATGTGAACAGATCACGATGTTAGGATGTCCCTGCTAATTACCTTCACTGTGCTTATTTCTGTGGCACTTTTCAGTAACCAACACATAAGAGGTATTAGAGTTTTGGTAGTCATGTAGTTTAAAAATCCTCTTTCTATACTATATAAAATTGTTGGAATAAACAATGGAGTTTTAATCATATTCTTTAGAGTTACATAAACAATAAAAAGTAAAAATAACATAGCAAACAACCAAGAGGGAGGAAAAAGTGCTAATTAAATTCCTCATTTTTTTCATATATCATATAGTGAAAACTGAAGAAATAAAAGAAACACATGTGCTATTTAGAACTGTGTTGATAATCATCAGAAAAATAAAAAATGGAAATAGAAAACTGTAAACATCTCAGGAGAGTTAGTTTGGAAAACTAACTGTAATTGTCTTAAATAACTTATTAGAACTGAAATTTTGTCCTATAATACCAACAGCTAATCTAAAAAACAAAAAAGGCTTTTTCTTATGTTACTATTTATGAGTTTTCCAGAAAACCCAGAGTTAATGGTAAATATAATGCATTCTCAAATATGATTTCTAAGATTATTACCCAAAGCAATTGTGATATTTGAATCTTGAGAATTTTTGACACTAGTAATACAGTCATATATTATATAATTAGAGGCCTGATGCACAAAGATTCATTCCTTCCCCTAGCTTCCGGCACCAGCTTCCCTCCGGCACCCAGGACCTGGGCCTTTGCTCTCGCCACCACCTTTTGCCTTCACTCTGGCCTTGCCACCCTCCTGTAGCTCCCTCCACCCCCCGCCGCCCCTCATAGCGGGTGTCCTGCCCCTACTCAGCTGCTCTGCGCGTGTGCATGTGCGATGACCAGAGGCCTGGAGCGGCCGGGGTGGGGCAGAACACCTGTGTCGCAACAAGGCAAGCGCCCTGGTCCAGCCACTGCCGTTTTTGTTGCGTCAATTTGCATATTCCCTCCTTGTTGACTATGGGCACTGCTATCTTTGTCATGAAGTGATGGTCAATTTGCATATTTTGTCTTTATTAGATAGGATGACATTATAGTTAACACTGGACTTCATATAAGTTAGTGGTCCCAAAAGAATATAGTGGGGCTGAACAATTCCTATAGCCTAGTGATGCAGTAGCCCACCATAACATCATAGTGCAAGTATTACTAATTTGTGCCTTCTCAGTCTATAATAGTAATGCTACCTTAGGGCTATAAATGCCTGAGGGCACTCATCTGGACCCATGGAGCTGCCCACAGACATAGTCTGTCTTTTTTCTTAAATTTATCTTTATTGTTGAAAGTATTACAGATGTCCCCTTTGTTTGCTTTCCCATTGACCCCCTCCACCCTGCACCCACCCCTCCCAGGACTTTACCACTCTATTGTCTGCGTCCCTGGGCTATGCATATATGTATATATGCATATAAGTTCTCTGTTAATCAACTGCCCTCCCTATGCCCCCCACCTGCCCAATCCCCCACCCCTGTCTTCCCTCTGAAATTCCTGTTTGTTCCATGTTTCTATGTTGCTGGATCTATTTTATTCATCGGGTTTTTGTTTGTTTGTTTGTTTGTTTCCCATTAGATTTCACATTAGAGTAAGATCATGACATAGTTCCTTTCAAAACCAATGTTACCACTGGACTGACCCTGGGAATTTATTATGCTTTCAAGACACCCTTCAGAGATAACCATTAGGAAACTTTGAAGAAAGAATAAAGTTTATTACTTACTATCCATGGGCCATACAAGGCAAACCAAGGGGCACACAGGGAGGCCACAGGTAGAGAAAAAGAGTGAGCATGTACAGGGACCGGGGTCTGCTTTTACTGGCGAGGAAGGTGGGACCTAGGGTTTCAAGGGCTCACTCTTTATTGGTGAATTTAAAACATAGGAGCAGGAATTCAAAGGGCAGAATGAGAAAAAAATACAAGTAGCCCAAATGGTCAGTTATTGCAATAACCACGATCTCTATAATAAAGGTGCCTCGGTGGGACAAGGCATCCTGACCTTCTAGTTCTATGACAGGCAAACTGTTTATTGGAAATGTCCAGCTTTGAAGTGGAGGCCTGAACAATAAAACCTTAGTAGTAAATCAAGCCCTTGCATTACAAGAAGAAAAGCCAAGTTTGAGGATTCGCACTACAGTCACTCCTGTGGTTGTGAAGATCTTGGTATAAACAGACCTACCGCTCTGCCAAAGGTATAAAAGTATAGCACATACAGTTGCAGTAGGAGGCTATCCCATCTAGGTTTGGGCAAGTGCACTCTTTGACTTCCCCACAACAAGGAAATCACCTAATGATGCATTCCTCAGAACACATCCCAATTGTTAAGTGGTGCATCACGATACATAACATTAAAGGGTACTGTGTTTTGTTTAGGATGGTACTGTTTCATATTTAGTATATATTTTTCATAAAGATAACTAACATTTATCTTAGAAAACAATATGTGTATTCCTTAGAAGAAACAACATAGATAACATGCATCATTTTTTGAACTTTTCCAACAAAATTTCTATAGTAGATACAATCGGGCATTGAAAGGTGTACATATAAGCAAGAAAAACCCAAAGGGAAACTACTCCTTAAAATAAACAAAAGTTGTAATTATTTGCAATGTTTACCAAATAGTCCATACTTAATACACTTTTATCAATTTGTATTCTTAGTGAAATATCCAACCTGGTAAGAGATCACTACTCTCAAGTAGACTTGATTCTACCTACTACTAAGAAAATAGTACAGCGGTACTACTAAAAGAACAACATCCTCAATTCTTATGAAAATGCAAGTAATTCAGAAATGTATTTCTTTTGAAGAGCAGGTTATCTGCATGTGGATAGCAATGACTGTTCTTATTCTTCTCCTATCCC